ATGGTCTGGATAGAAAGGGGCTGCCAGAGCAGTGAGCAGTGGCTGGGCTGTTGGGGGCAGAGGGTAATGGATTCTACTCTGCAGGAACATGGGGAGTGCCACAGGGGTTTGTCTCCTCAGTCTATCAAAACAGAACCGAAGGAGAACACCACTTTGTGCAGGGAACATCCCACGGTACCTGAGCAAGAGAAAGAGAGCAGGGACAGAGACCTCGGCCAAGATTCCAGAGCATCAAGCGAGTTGGAGACTATGAAGCACATCCAAAACCAAGCCAACACAGGTCAAGTCAATCCCCTGGTCAGGTTTAGGTCCAGCAAGTGCTAGGGAAGTCCACAAGCAACCTCAGATCACCACCAATGGATTCCATAGATGTGCACAACTCCTGCTAAACTGGAAACCAGAACTCCTCAAACAAAGTGCAACCACCTTGTGCTGAGCTTAAATAGAGATGGGGGGGAAATGGGCAGAGGGTGAGGCTGGAGCCCCAGCTGAGGCTGCTCAGGGGGGTAAAGGCCTATTAGCTCACCCTGGGACAATTCATCATTGCCTCAAATGCCCATTTCTCACCCTTCAATACAGTGGAAGCCCTAAAGCACCAGCTCAGGTGTTGGACATCCAGGCACTGCATGTGGATAATCCTACTGGGGCTGGAAAACTGGGCACACAAGTGTGCACAGAGGGACAGCAGCAGCTCCAGAGAAGGAGTCACTTGTGCTTCATGTTGCATTTAGGGACCCTCTGCGAGATCAGGAATGTCTCTTAATCCATTCCCATTCTGTTGCCAAAACCTTTGCATGGTCCACAAGTATACCAGAAGCATCCTATGAGCTGCTCATCACTGCTGCTGTGCAGCTGTGCTCAGGCATGGCTCATCTACACCATGTCTCTCAGATGCCCAAGCACCACGATGCCTTTCAGAGGTGATTTCACATCTTTTGATTTTCCTTCTCTTTCCTCTGGTAAGTCACGAGCAGCCCTGGAGGCTTCCTCCCAGGAGAGCACATGCAACTGTATTTACAGCCCCAGCACCACAAGCTGGGCTCTTGGAGTCTGGCAGGAGCTCCCCTCTCTTCACATCAGGTGCAACAGAGCTATTGAGTGTCACCTCCTGGCCATGATGGCCTACGACCGGCACGTTGCTATCTGCCAGCCCCTGCTTTATGTGACCATCATCTCCAGCCGTGTCTGCTGGCAGCTGGTAGCATCATCCTACCTATTTGCCTTCCTCAGTGCCATTATATACTCATGGTGTGTTTGGAGGATCCTTCTGCGGTCCCAACCGTATCGACCACTTCTTCTGTGACACTGCCCCTGTGCTAAAGCTCGTGTGCTCCGACACCCACAGCAGCGAGATGCTCATCTTTGCCTTCATCGCTATCAATTCAGTTGGCACAAACGTGGTCATTTTGCTCTCCTACATCTCTATCCTCTGCACGGTGCTGAGGACGTGCTGAGCACAGAGCAGGGCCAGAGCCTTCAACACCTGTGCCTCCCATTTGACGGCCGTTTCTATATTCTTTGGGACAGGATTCTTCATGTACCTACAACCTTCTTCTAGCCACAGGAGCTTGGATAAGTTGACCTCCATCTTTTACAGCGTGGTCACCCCAATGCTCAACCCATTCATCTACAGCCTGAGGAACAAGGAGGCGAAGGGGGCTCCGCTGAAGTGCGGGAGATTCAACCACTGGCAACATAAGACAGTTCTATCATTCAGGAGATGCACAAGTCCTGTCAATTGGTAATACCTATGGGGCACTAAAACAATGGGGATTTCCTATAATCCTGATGATTAGATGCAGGTTCTTCCACAGTTCCTGCACAAAAGTCAATGACAGCATTTTATGAGAAATTAGTACCCAAAATCACATATTCCTTGGAAGAAAACCAAAAGGAGACTGGGTCTCAAACTTCCTTTCTCTTTGCAGTCACCAGACTGAAGGAAGAATATTAGAATTTTTGTAAAGTCTATGGATGGTGAACAGTCTCTTGTTTGCTCTGGCAAACAGCAACTAGATAGAAAATATTGTCTTAGCTAAGGGGGAAAGTGGATTCTATCTCTGGTGAGTGAATGAGCTAGAGTCCATATAATTAAATTCTAAAGAGCTTGGCAACCAGAGACCTTTGATACCAAATGATTCAAATGTGGCTCATATAGACCTGAGCATATAAGGCTGCCTTCTTAAATACAGAGAACTTGACCTTATCTAACTAAAAATCAGTAAGAAAATCTTACCTTTACATAACTTATCTGGGTTTATCCTTTAGGTAAGAAAGGGGACAGAAATCATAGAGTAGGGCCTAACATAAATGAGAGAAATGCATCTTTCTTCTTAAAATAATCTACTTCATCAGTTACTATGATTGCAATTCATCTATATCACAGGAAAAGGAAGAAGCCCCTGAAAATAAGAAGAGGACATAATGCAGGTTTGAAGCTATCAGCTGGGGATGCTGACAGCTTTGAAAGTTATTTCTGACAGGGCTAGCAAGGAGCCAGGTGCTAATGTCAAGTGTAAACCTGAAAAGACCAAGATGGAGGGGGAAAAAACTACAGGCAATAAAAGAGTGTAGATAAATCGGATTGTCGGTGGTCTTGTTGCACAAACCAGTCACAGGGAGAAAGCAAGACTTAGAAATGGTTCCAAACCTAAGGAAGAGCCTGGGGAAACCAGAGTCCTTGGAGTCAGTGACGCTCTGGTGTCCTCTGTCACAAAACCAGCAGATGAACATCGTGCCAAAGCTACTTCCAAACCAAAGTGTTGGCAATCTGCTGAAGAATGAAAGTCTAATGTTATACTTGGTAAAGGAGAAGGTACTAAGGAAAAGATAACAACACTTGAATGTAAGGATCAATTTATTACTCTCCCCCCCTCATTGAGAAGGCTTTCTCCTAATTTGCCCATATGGGGACATGTTCTGGATGGAGAGGGACTGCCAGAGCAGTGAGCACTGGCTGGGCTGTTGCGTGCAGAGGGTGATGGGATCTGGTCTGCAGGAGCCTGGGGACTGCCACAGGGGTTTGTCTCTTGAATCTCTATAAACAGAGCTAAAGAAGAACACCACAGTGTATAGGGACCATCCCACAGTACCTGTGCAAGAAAAGTAGGGCATGAACACAGACCTGGGCCAAGTTCAACTAAAGCTCCAGAGCATCAGGAAAGCTGGGGATGAGGAGACAGATTCAAGACCAAACCAAGTCAGGGCGAGTCAGTCCCTTTTTTGGGATCAGGTGAAAAAAATTGCGAGGAAGATAGATGAGAAACCCTAGGTGACCACCAAAAGATTGCACAGGTGTGCTGAGCTCCTACTAAACTGGAAACCAGAACTCCTCTAGTAAAGCTCAATCTGCCTGTTCTGAGCTTAAAAAGAGATGGGGGAACAACAGGAAGAGGGTGGGGATGGAGGCCCAGCTGAGGCTGCTCAGGGGGATAAAGGCCTATTAGTTCAGCCTGGGACAATTCCTCCCTGCCTCAAAATGCCAGTTTTTCACCCTTGAATACAGTGGGAGTCCTGAGGCACCAGCTCAGCTGTTGGACATCCAGGCACTACATGTGAGTAACCCCACTGGGGCTGGAAAACTGGGTTCACCCTCCACAGAGGGACATCAGCAGCTCCAGAGATGGAGTCACTTGTGCTTCATGTCCCATTTGAGGACCGTGTGCAAGATCTGGAATGTCTCCAAACCCATTTTCCTTGTGTCAGTATGGTCAGACCAAAACATTTGCATGGTCCACAAGTATGTAGGAAGCATCCTATGAGCTGCTCATCACTGCTGCTGTGCAGCTGTGCTCAGGCATGGCTCACCCACTCCATGTCTCTCAGATGCCCAAGCACCACAATGCCTTTCAGAGGTGATTTCACACCCTTTGCTTTTTCCTTCTCTTTGTTTTCCTCTGGTAAATCATGAGCAGCCCTGGAGGCTTCCTCCCAGGAGAGCACATGCAACTGTATTTACAGCCCCAGCACCACAAGCTGGGCTCTTGGAGTCTGCAGGAGCTCACCTCTCTTCACATCAGGTGCAACAGAAATGATGCTGGCACAGAGACGTTCTCTGCTGCATTCGGGATAAACCCTTGGCTCCTATCAGTCGGTGGCAGAGGACAGGCACAGGAGGTAACACCAACACAAAGCAGAGCCTCACCTGCATTGAGGCAGTGGGCTTGTGTCTGCATGTTCTAGGGTCTTCTTTGGTAAAGGTGTGTCAGAAAACAGCCTTACCAGTGTGTGTTTTCTTTATAAGAGGGAGTAAGGTTGATGCAGGTTGTGTTTCTTTTACATAGGCAGCTAAAGCAAGATGCACTGATTTATTCAAGAATTAAATGAGGATGACTCTTATTCTGTTATACAGAAATGTAACAGTTCAGATTGTCAGCAGAACATAATCACTAACAAATGAGCCTTTGGAATCAGCCTGTTAGAAGCTAAATACCTTTTTAAAGCAAGAAACTTAATGCCTGTTGTAACTCAGAAGGGAATAATTCATGAATTTACCAATGTCCGTGTTATTTAATGTAAATGATCTCAAATAGTTTAGTAAATGTGATTTGGTGACTGGAATGATAAAAGCCAAGGGAAAATGTCTGGAGTTCATGCATGTGGAAGCTGGGCTTTCACTGCGACTGAGAATTTCTCTTGCTCCACGATTACATGCAATCCTATGCATTCAAATTGAAGGTGAATACAGATCTGAATCTTTGCTCAAACCTGAAAACACGTGTGCTTGAGTAACTCCAGAGTTTTAACTATTCCAGCACAGAAAAACAAAAATGCCCTTTGTTGCTTCAAGAAGCTCCCTGTTCTTTTCTAAACACCTTACCTGAAAAACGTAAAATAGATATAATTTTGGTTAGAAAATACATTGGAAAATTCTATTTGCAGTTATTCTATGGCAGTTAAAATGGTCACTGATTGGAGTTAGATATGGTCCAAATCCGAATGTCCATTTTTGATCAGTTTGATGTTTCTTTTCCTTTTGCCTCAGCAGGGAACACCTGGTCATGGCAGGAAATCACACCCAGAATAAATTTATCCTGTTGGGAATTACAGACAGCCCATGTCTGCAGACCCCTCTTTTTGTCTTGTTTCTAGTGATTTACATTGTCACTTTGGTGGGGAACGTTGGCATTGTCACATTGGTTCGGGTGTCTCCCAGCCTCCACACCCCCATGTACTTCTTCCTCACCCACTTTGCCTTCACTGACATCTGCTGTTCCACAGTCATCTCCCCCAGGATGCTGGCAGACCTGTTATCAGAGGACAGAACCATTTCTTTCACTGGCTGCATGATGCAGTTCCTCACTTTTATTTTCTTTGGCAGTGCCGAGTGTCACCTCCTGGCCATGATGGCCTACGACCGGCACGTTGCCATCTGCCATCCCCTGCTTTACGTGACCATCATCTCCAGACGTGTCTGCTGGCAGCTGGTAGCATCAAGCTACCTATTCGCCTTCCTCAGTGCCACCATCTGCACATGGTGCCTGTTTGGAGGTTCCTTCTGTGGACCCAAATACATTGACCACTTCTTCTGCGACATCGTACCTGTGCTTAAACTCCTCTGCCCTAATAACTACAGCAGTGAGATGGTCATCTTTGCCTTTCTCACTATCAATGTGGTGGGCACGAGCGTGGTCATTTTGCTCTCCTACATCTCTATCATCCGCACTGTGCTGAGGACGTGCTCAGCAGAGAGCAGGGCCAGAGCCTTTCGTACCTGCACCTCCCATTTGGCGGCTGTTTCCATGTACTTTGGGACAGCATTCTTCATGTACCTACAACCTCCATCAAGCCACAGGAGCCTGGATAAGGTGGCCTCCATCTTCTACGCTTTGCTCACCCCCATGCTCAACCCATTCATTTATAGCCTGAGGAACAGGGAGGTGAAGGCGGCTCTGGTCAACTGTGGGAGGAGATTGCTCAGCAGATGGCAACATAAAAGAGTTGTATCATCTAGGACACACAGTTCATCTAAAGTGAGAAACCCTTTGGAGCATGAAAAAAATGGGATTTTCCACTAATACTCATCATTTTATATAGGTTCATCCACAACTCCTGCACATGAGTCAATGACAGTATTGAATGAGAAATACACACCCCAAATCACATCTTCCTTGGAAGGAAACCAAGAGGAGAGGAACCTCAAACTTCATTTCACTTTGCAGTCACCAGCCGGTGGGAAGAGTTTACCCTCAATTATCCCAGGCCTCTTTTCCTCCCAGGAAACACCAATCAGCTTTATCCCATTACAACCTTTCTCAGTGATAAATATCTATTTTTCTTGCCAGATTCTTGACCTTGTCCCTCAGCTCCAATAAAACTCCTCCCTCTTACCTGTGAGCTCTTTCTTAAAGCTGCTGTTGTGGGAGGGAAGAGGCAGTGTAGTTTTACATTTGCTTGTTGAAAAAGAGTCAGAGAAAAGGTTTTAAAAGATTTATTGCATTTGTTTGTGCCTTTCAAAGAGAAGAAGCTGGTGGGAATGAAGATCTCAAGCTGCCCCTTTGAATATCAAGGGGAATCCCTCCCCAGGCTTCAGCTTCAGACTAGATTTCACTTCAATTAAGGAAAAGTAGAAAATAGAACTCCTAATGCAGATTGATGAACTGTGCTGAGACTACCCAGTGTTAAGGACAAACTGGGCATATCAAGTGGTCCTCCTATTCATTTTAAGTGGTGTTTTGCACTCTTTTAAAGTGTCCTTTACTTAAATGGTGAGATAAATGGAATTCCAGCTGGAGATAAGCACCCACATCCCATGTCCATGCCCAGCTCACACTAAAGCACACCAGGAAACACCAAGTGGTGGCTTGCACTTATAAATACAGCATGAGGCAAGTTTCCATTACTGAAAGACAATCCTGAACCCAGAATCAATGGTAACTGAGAGCTGCCTGGGTCAGAAAGAAGCAAAAAAACCACTGGTGTGGGAAAATGTTTTCCTTTACCTCTTGTGAGGGAGAATTAACTTCTATTTGGGAAGCACGTGGGTCATGGACAGTGTCTTTTGTGTGCTCTGGAAAACAGCAGTGAGAGGTGTGTGGAAGAGTGGCTTCTATCTGTGGTCAGTGAGGGAGCCAGAATCGATGTACTTACTTGCTGATGAGCTTGGCAGGACAGAGACTTTGATATCAGAGAGCTTCTTGAAAACCTTCACCACACCTTGGTTCTTTGCTTCTTTCTTGCATATTGTAGCTGAGACATGTAGAATATATACAAATAGAATCATAGAGCCACAGAAAACCCAAGTTTCACCTCAAGAGATCATCTGCTCCAAGCTTTAATGGGAAAGGGAGCGTGGATGAGAAGTGTCACGTGGAGGGCTCATCCCTGCTTGATGAATTACCCCACTCTGGTGTTCTTATCCCCTCTTTGGTTTAAGAAAGATTCCAAAGCAGAGACAGCTGCAATACATAACGGTTTACCTAGACTTGGTGCTACATTGCTAAGGGAGGTCTGGATTGCTATAGTCTTGCGTGCGGTGGATCCAACTCAGGGAACTCCCAAGAGGAACCTCAGTCGAACGTACAGGGGAAGAACAGCTGTCAATGCCAGCAACAAGAAACAGGCTTGGGGTTCTGAAAATACATTTGATGACAAAAGCATCATTGCATGATTCTGCTTCAATCTTTGCAGAGAAGGGATCTACAAAATTCAGAATGCCCTGGCTGTAGACACAAAATTCCCATATCAGGTAAATAACAGAGGTCCTGCCATAGAAGCCCAATATTATACTTGGTAAAACAGAATTAACTAATGACCAGAATAAAATACCAGGAAATAAAGTTCCCCTTACTACTCCATTTCTGTCACTGAGAAGAGTAACTCCTTTTTTACCCATGCAGGGATGTGGTCTAGATGGAGAGGGAATGCCATGACAGTGGGCACTGGCTGGGCTGTTGCATGCAGAAGGTGATGGGTTCTACTCTGCAGGAGCCTGAGGACTGCCACAGGGCTTTGTTTCCTTAATATCTTTCAACAGAGACAAAGGAGAACATCACAGTGTGTAGGGACCATCCCACAGTACCTGAGCAAGAGAAGCAGGGCAGGAACAGAGATTGGGGACAAGTTCCAACAAGCTAAACAGATCCACAATGAAGCCTAGGTCACCATCAAAGGATTCCTTAGATGTGCCGTACACCTACTAAACTGGAAACCAGAACTGCTCTAATAAAGCACAAGCTCCCTGGCTGAACTTAAATAGAGATGGGGGACAAATGGGCAGAGGGTGGGATGAAGCCACAGCTGAGACTGGTCAGGGGGATAAAGGCCTATTAGTTCAGCCTGGGACAATTGATCCCTGCCTAAAAATGCCCATTTCTCACCCTTGAATACAGTGGAAGCCCAGAGGCACCAGCTCAGCTGTTGGACATCCAGGCACTGCATGTGGATAACACAAGTGGGGATGGAAAACTGGGCTCTCAAGTGTGCACAGAGGGACTGCAGCAAACCCAGAGATGGAGTCACTTGTGCTTCATGTCCCATTTGGGGACCCTTTCAAGATCTGAAATGTCTCTAAAATCCATTCTCATTCTCTTGCCAAGGTCAGACTAAATTCTTTGCATAGTCCACAAGTATGTCAGAAGCATCCTATGAGCTGCTCATCACTGCTGCAATGCAGCTGTGCTCAGGCATGGCTCACCCACACCATGTCTCTCAGATGCCCAAGCACCACAATGCCTTTCAGAGGTGATTTCACACCCTTTGCTTGACAGCAAGCAAAATCCACCTGAAGCATCAATCTCTTCATGCCCAGGTGCACTAATAAAGCCCATTAACAACGGCAGTACCTATGTGGCTTTAAGGAGATGCCTTCCCCCTTCTCCCACATTGAGGGGAGGGAGTGGGTGACAAGTGAATGCCTACATGATTCATCCCTGATTATTCTCATAACATTCTCAACTGCCTTTCCTAATGCTACTTAAACAGGATTTCAGCAATGCAAAGACAGTTCCTGCAACCATTTCTACTCTCACAGTTGCCACTTGTTAACATCTTCCTGTAAAACCCACCCAAATGTTGATTTTTGCCTTTGCTGACTTGACTAAGGCAGTACTTGTCCCCACACCAAGTTTTTATCATTTCGCAGGGGTTTTTCTTTCATTTTGCTATGAGCAGTGATGAGAAGAGCAAGGAAACAGCAAGCACCTGAATTCAAATCAACAGGAGAACTGCAGTAGTACCTAAACAAAATTCTTTTCACTGGTAACTGTCCAGTAGGTCCAAGTGTTGTGACACGTATTACCCACCATACTGTGGTCCTGGTGTATGGATTCATGAAACACTTCCTTGTCCACTTACTTCAAGAAATTCTAGTTTATGGAGTTGGAGATGTCCCTGTATTAGTTTGTTTCACAGAATCCCAGAGTGGTTTGGGTCAGAAAGAACCTTAAAACTCATCCGGCTCCAACCTGTGCCGGAGGCAGGGACCCCTTCCACTGGAGCAGCTTGCTCCAAGCCCCTGTGTCCAACCTGGCCTTGAGCACTGCCAGGGATGGGGCAGCCACAGCTTCTCTGGGCACCCTGTGCCAGCGCCTCAGCACCCTCCCAGGGAGGAGCTTCTGCCTAAGAGCTCATCTCAGTCTCCCCTCTGCAGGTTCAAGCCATTCCCCTTGTTCTGTCCCTACAGGCCCTTGTCCAAAGCTCCCCTTCAGCTTTCTTGCACTCCCCTATTATAGTAAAGAACGGCCCACAGTAAAGTCTCCCTGGAGCCCTTCCCCCTCTTGCTGCCCATTACAGTCCTTCTATCACACTCTCCATCTGATCTTTCCCATCTCCTTTCTTCCACTATCGGGCACCTCTCCCTCAAGCTCTCCTTTCTGCCTTCAGTTTCCAGCACAATGGGTGGAGAAAGGTTAACAACACCATCAAGGAGAGCACAAGGACTGGGGCTGCCTTGGTCCCCAGAGTTGTTAAGAAACAAATTCCCCAGAAAGCCATCTCCAGGCAGAGAGAGGACAGGAGGGTGACCATGAGTAACCAGTATGGATGTACCAAGGGTAAGTTAAGCCTGGCCAACCTGAGTGCCTTGGGTGATGTGAGCATTGATGTTTGCTTGGACAAGAAGCAGAGGACAGCATTTACCTCACCGTTAGCAAGATCACCACGATCTTCTGTTGGCTCTTTGCAGCCAATATTGTGAGCTATGGTTTGAGTAAAAGGAATTGAAGATGGGTGGAAACCTGGTTCATTGTACATGGTGCCTGACATTGCTGATGGACCCTGGTACCAGCTCCTATTGGTGAGGTCCCTGTCACTTCCCTGCCATGATAATGTCAACCATGGCCCTTGTGAAGCTGTAACTGCCTCAGAAATGCTCCAAAAGTGGATGTCAAAGGTGGGATTGTTCTGTGCTTTGCTCTAAGAGAGCCCAAAGCCCTGTTGCTTGCTCAAGCTGAGGTCATCTCCTCTGGGTACACTTCTCCTCCTCCAAACTAATCAGCACAGAGAAGAAATAATGACCTGCTGTGGGCTTTGTCACCTCCTGGGGCCCAAAGAGATTCACAGTCCCACATCCCCACATCACTTGAAATAGGAAGGGGGTTTGCTGATGCTGGTTCATTCCCAGGCTCCCTGCACAGCTCCAGGCACGTTCATCTTCACATCCATCTCCGAGAGCATCAGGAGGGCAGCAGAGACAGAGCTGAGATGTAAGTGAAGGGCAGCATCTTCCAGCCCATCTTTCTCCTGTGCTTCTCTCTTGCCAACAAGCAGCAGCTCCTGTCTTCATGTCCTGCCCTACTTCAGGGTCCTGGGCTTCTTGATGATGCTCTGGGCTTCCCAGGGAGCTGCTTGTGCTGTGTGCTCCCCATGCTGCTGCTGAGAAGGCAGGTTTGGAGATCACCCTGGTGGAGAGCACCCTCAGGAGGCTTCCTCACCTCTGAGCAAAAAAGGTTTCCTGGGTGAGCACCAGAAGCTTTCCTGTACAGGACATTCAGGGTGCTCCCCATTGCTGAGATGAGGCAGGTCCAAAGATTGTATATATTCCCCCAAAACAGATGATCAAGAAGAGGTTACTGAACACTGGGGGTTGCATATGTCTATTGAAGACCCCATGAACAGGCTAAAGACCCAGGAAAAGCATTTAGAGATGAAAGAGTGTGTCAGGAGAAAGAGGAAATCACTATAAAAG